ACTTGTAACCCAGCACTTGTAACACCAGCACTTGTAACCCCAGCACTTGTAACACCAGCACTTGTAACACCAGCACTTGTAACCCCAGCACTTGTAACACCAGCACTTGTAACACCAGCACTTGTAACACCAGCACTTGTAACACCAGCACTTGTAACACCAGCACTTGTAGCACCAGCACTTGTAACACCAGCACTTATAGCACCAGCATTTGTAGCACCAGCACTTGTAACACCAGCACTTGTAACACCAGCACTTGTAACACCAGCACTTGTAACACCAGCACTTATAGCACCAGCATTTGTAGCACCAGCACTTGTAACACCAGCACTTGTAACACCAGCATTTGTAACACCAGCACTTGTAACACCAGCATTTGTAACACCAGCACTTGTAACACCAGCACTTGTAACACCAACACTTGTAACACCCCAAGATCTTTTTCGTTGAGTGAGGTTTGCAGTCTTTGGCCACCTAGATTATATTGTGTCTGCGGTCTTCTTTGCCCTTCCCCGATCTTCATGACTTTGCATTTGGCAGGGTTAAATTCAAGGAGCCAGTTGCTGGACCAGGCTTGTAGCCTGTCCAGGTCTCTTTGTAGTCCTGCCTGATCCTTGACCGATTTGATTCTCCTCATTAACTTCACATCATCTGCAAACAAGGACACTTCTGAGTCTATCCCTTCCGTTATGACATTCACATATAACAAAAACAGCACAGATCCTAGGACTGATCCCTGGGAAACCCCGCTTGTCACAGGCGCCCACTCTCACACCTCGTCACGTACCATGACTCGTTGGTGCCTCCCTGTCAGGTATTCTCTGATCCATTGCAGTGCCTTTCGTAACAATAGCACTTGTAACACCAGCACTTGTAACACCAGCACTTGTAACACCAGCACTTGTAACACTAGCACTTTTAACACCAGCACTTGTAACACCAGCACTTGTAACACTAGCACTTGTAACACCAGCACTTGTAACACCAGCACTTGTAACACCAGCACTTGTAACACCAGCACTTGTAACGCCAGTATTTGTAGCACCAGCACTTGTAACACCAGCACTTGTAACACCAGCACTTGTAACACCAGCACTTGTACTCGTAACACCAGCACCACCTGTGCTTGTGGCACCGTAGTCGGCACTCTCCTGCACCTTCTGTAATTCGTAGTACTGTGGAGGAGTGGCTAGACACCCAGGAGTGTGTTGTTGTTGTGGTGGTTGTATTGATGGTGGTAGTGATGGGTGTGGTGGTGGTGGTATTGATGGTGATAGTGGTGGTGGTGGTAGTGATGGTGGTGGTGGTGGTATTGATGGTGGTGGTGGTGGTATTGATGGTGATAGTGGTGGTGGTGGTAGTGATGGTGGTGGTGGTGGTATTGATGGTGGTGGTGGTGGTGGTAGTGATGGTGGTTGTGGTTGTATGATGGTGGTAGTGGTGGTGGTGGTAGTGATGATGGTGGTGGTAGTGATGGTGGTGGTTGTATTGATGGTGGTAGTGATGTCGGTTGTGGTGGTGGTTTTGCAACATACACACACACACACACACACACACACACACACATATATATATATATATATAATATATATATATATATATATATATATAATATATATATATATATATATATATATATATATATATATATATATATATATATATATATGTATGTATGTATGTATGTATGTATGTATGTTCACTCGTCATGTTCATTCCCTCATGCTCACCCTTCATGTTCACTCATGTCAGTGTTGATGTGACCTTCATCATCACTGGTGTAAACAGAACTAAAGATGTCTGTTTATGACCGTTGTTATACCTGTTGAACATCCTGCGTGCAGTGAATAGTTATACATGAGGGATACGTGAGGGATACTTGTAGGATACGTGAAAGATACATGGAACTGAATCCATTCAGTGGGATTCAACATATTTGATGTATGTGTCTCAGGAATGACCCTGCCTACCATCCTTCTCTCACTCCCTCCTATCTTCACCTCCCTCTCTCACTCACTCCCTCTCTCCCTCCTATCTTCACCTCCTTCTCTCCCTGTTTGCTCCCTTCTCGCTGACTGGCACCATAACCTCCCTCCCGCTTCACCAACAGTGCCACTCAAAAATTTGTGGCACTGAGCTTTGCTTGAAATTTCTAATATTATATTTTGATGAGGGAGGGACACGCACACACACACACACACAGCGATCACGTGGTTCTGAGTTTTGATTATATAGTAGAGTTACAAGTGGAGAAGGTAACAGGAACTGAATGGGACAGACCAAACTATAAAAGGAGGGACTACACAGGTATGAGAAACTTCCTGCAGGAGGTTCAGTGGGACAGAGAAATGGTAGGAAAATCAGTAAACGAGATGATGGAATATGTGGCAACAAAGTGCAAGGAGGCAGAGGAAAGGTTTGTTCCCAAGGGAAACAGAAATAATAGGAAGACCAAAACGAGTCCTTGGTTTACCCGAAGGTGTAGGGAGGCAAAAACTAAGTGCAACAGAGAATGGAAAAGGTACAGAGCATAGGACCCAGGAAAACAAGGAGATTAGTAGAAGAGCCAGAAACGAGTATGCACAGATAAGGAGGGAGGCCCAGCGACAGTATAAAAACGACATAGCATCGAAAGTCAAATCTGACCCGAAACTTCTGTATAGCCACATTAGAGGAAGACAACAGTCAAGGACCAGGTGATAAGGCTGAGGAAGAAGGTGGAGAACTCACAAGAAAAGATCAAGAAGTATGTGAGGAGCTCAACACGAGATTTAAGGAAGTATTTACAGTAGAGACAGGAAGGACTCTGGGGGGACAGACCAGATGGGGACATCAGCAAGGAATATACCAACAAGTGTTGGACGACATACATACAGATGAGGAGGAGGTGAAGAAACTGCTAAGGGACATCGATACCTCAAAGGCAATGGGACCGGACAACATCTCCCCGTGGGTCCTTAGAGAGGGAGCAGATATGTTGTGCGTGCCACTTACCACAATCTTCAACACGTCCCTGGAAACTGGGCAACTACCTGAGGTATGGAAGACGGCAAATGTAGTTCCCATTTTTAAAAAAGGAGACAGAAAAGAGGCACTAAACTATAGACCTGTGTCATTGACGTGTATAGTATGCAAAATTATGGAGAAGATTATCAGGAGGAGAGTGGTGGAGCACCTGGAACTGAACAAGAGTATAAATGCCAACCAGCACGGATTCACGAAAGGCAAATCCTGTGTCACAAACCTTCTGGAGTTTTATGATAAAATAACAGAAGTAAGACACGAGAGAGAGGGGTGGGTTGATTGCATCTTCTTGGACAGCAAGAAGGCCTTTGACACAGTTCCTCACAAGAGATTAGTGCAGAAGCTAGAGCATCAGGCGCATATAACAGGAAGGGCACTGCAATGGATCAGAGAATACCTGACAGGGAGGCAACAACGAGTCATGGTACGTAATGATGTATCACAGTGGGCACCTGTGACGAGCGGGGTCCACAGGGTCGGTCCTAGGACCAGTGCTATTTTTGGTATATGTGAACGACATGATGGAAGGGTTAGACTCAGAAGTGTCCCTGTTTGCAGATGATGTGAAGTTAATGAGGAGAATTAAATCTGATGAGGACCAGGCAGGACTTCAAAGAGACCTGGACAACTGGACACCTGGTCCAGCAAATGGCCTTCTCGAATTTAATCCTGCCAAATGCAAAGTCATGAAGATAGGGAAGGGCACAGAGGACCACAGACAGAGTATAGGCTAGGTGGCCAAAGACTGCAAACCTCACTCAAGGAGAAAGATCTTGGGGTGAGTATAACACCGAGCATGTCTCCGGAAGCACACATCAATCAGATAACTGCTGCAGCATATGGGCGCCTGGCAAACCTGAGAACAGCATTCCGACACCTTAGTAAGGAATCGTTCAAGACACTGTACACCGTGTATGTCAGGCCCATACTGGAGTATGCAGCACCTGTTTGGAACCCGCACTTGATAAAGCACGTCAAGAAACTAGAGAAAGTACAAAGGTTTGCCACAAGGTTAGTTCCAGAGCTAAGGGGAATGTCCTATGAAGAAAGATTAAGGGAAATCGGCCTGAGGACACTGGAGGACAGGAGGGTCAGGGGAGACATGATAACGACATATAAAATACTGCATGGAATAGACAAGGTGGACAAAGACAGGATGTTCCAGGGAGGGGACACAGAAACAAGAGGCCACAATTGGAAGTTGAAGACACAAATGAGTCAGAGAGAGATATTAGGAAGTATTTCTTCAGTCATAGAGTTGTAAGGCAGTGGAATAGCCTAGAAAATGACGTAGTGGAGGCAGGAACCATACACAGTTTTAAGACGAGGTTTGATAAAGCTCATGGAGCGGGGAGAGAGAGGGCCCAGTAGCAACCGGTGAAGAGGCGGGGCCAGGAGCTAAGACTTGACCCCTGCAACCACAAATAGGTGAGCACACACACACACACACACACACACACACACACAACACACACACACACACACACACACACACACACACACACACGATCAGGTACGATAAGGGTCTTGGAACAGGAAGATGGTGTACCTAGTAGCGACTAGCGAAGAAGTGGGGCCATGAGCTGTGAATCAACCCGCAACCCCATATAAGTGAGTACACACACTCACACAGCTGTGGGAGTGTTGGATCATCTAGAAGCTAGACAGAAATTGACAGTGCTGTGTAAGGTATAATAACTCTACCATATACTTTGCCTGGTATACTCATCAGTCCCCTATAATTATCACGCTCTCTCTTACACCCTTTTCACTTATACTCAAGAACTATGCACACGCTCTCTCTCTCTGCCAATCCCAAGGCACGTTTTCCCTCTCTCAAAGCACCAAAACTATATACCCTCCTGCCTTTAACAGTTCTGCCTTGATTCCATCTACACCAGCTGCTTCACCCACTTTCATTGTGCATACAACTCTGCAAGGCTGAGGCTGCCTTCAAGTTGGAGCTGGACGGATACCTTATGTCAGTACCGGATCAGCCGGGCTGTGGTTCATACGTTGGATTACTTGTGGCCAGCAGTAACAGCCTGGTTAATCAGGCCCTGATCCACCAGGAGGCCTGGTCGTGGACCAGGCCGCGGGGGCGTTGATCCCAGGAATACCGTCAAGGTAGACTCCAGGCAGGTAGACCTCATCTTCTACTGTCTTCTGTATACAACTCTGCAAGACTGATTACCACATCTTCAACAATCTGCAGAAATAAAGATACCCAGGTATCACACGTGTGTCTGACTGATGAACTTCTGGGCATCATAAACCATTACTCTTGTGTGTTATTAAACCGAGAGGAACAACACAGATGATTTTGGTTTAATTAACATACATTATTTCCTGCAACACTTTCAACAGTTTTGGTAGTTAGTCACTTCTAAATTACCAAGATTCATGAGCCTTTGCTCCGTGTTTACTCATAAATATTCAGCACCACTGATGAATGCCGTCCGTTGAGTACGTGAGACGTGAGTTCATCTATTTCATGAGAGACTGTCCTTAGTGAGTCCATCCAGTGGATGAAAGACTGTCCTTAGTGAGTCTGTTCATTGGATGAGTGTGAGAATGGCTGGTAGTGATGAATGGTTTGAAAAACCGACAAGTTGAAGATTGAGACACTTATGCAACATATGGGAATCTTTATTCAGGAAACGTTTCGCCACACAGTGGCTTCATCAGTCCAATACAAAGAATAAAGATTCCCATATGCTGCATAAGTGTCTCAATCTTCAACTTGTCGGTTTTTCAAACCATTCATCACAACTGTCAGACACTGCAGCATCATGGGATCTTGTTACAAAGAATTCTTCAACACTTGTCCGACCTTTGGACGAAGACCTACTTCGACTAGTGGATGGTACCACTATGACCCCACCTCCTCCTGCTTCGCCTCACCTCACTACAGTATATAAGCCACGTCTACGGCCCTATGCTGTACATTCTACAAGATTGATGGACTGAACACATCGACTCCAGGCTGAGGGACTGATTACCTCAAACTCCTCCTCTCCTTACGCCTTTCTACTTTGTATCGGACTGATGAAGCCACTGTGTGGCGAAACGTTTCCTGAATAAAGATTCCCATATGTTGCATAAGTGTCTCAATCTTCAATGGCTGGTAGGCCTACCGGTCCTGCCTAGCATGGACCACTAGACCTACCGTAGTTACCCTAATTATTTATGTGTTTAAAGTCTACCAGCAACAAGAGGGTCATCAAGGCTGCGATAATTTGATACCTGAAATAGCGATTAAAATATATTATCATCATATATACGCTTAGAAATATACACCTATCGGTGTATATACAATTAGACATACACTTCTCGGTGTATATACACCGAACAATATAATTTTTGTGTATATACATACTGTCAAGTCACAGGTGCACACTTTGTTTATAAATCTCCGTTTTCTTTACCTCACAGAGCATATCACACTTTAGATTTTAAATTATATTCTCAGCATTTTTCATGCCATGGATAATTGAGGGTGAATTATCCATGCAGGTAGTCTAGGAGGGGACGCAGAGGAGGTCGTGTAATTTGCCCATTGTCGCGGAGGTAATTTTGGAAGGAATCTAGTCGGGAAGGCACCAGTTTCAAGTGTAGAGTTTAGTATTGCGAAATTATAATAGTTTGCCTTAGTGTAGTCGAAATAATTTTTTCCGGCACAGACACACACACACACACACACACACACACACACACACACACACACACACACACACACACACACACACACACACACCGATGTAGTGGAGACAAGATCCATACATAGCTTTAAGCAGAGGTATGATAAAGCTCACGGATCAGGGAGAGTGACCTAGTAGCGACCAGTGAAGAGGCGGGGCCAAGAGCTAGGACTCGACCCCTGCAACCTCAACTAGGTGAGTACACACACACACACACACACACACACACACACACACACACACCGATGTAGTGGAGACAAGATCCATACATAGCTTTAAGCAGAGGTATGATAAAGCTCACGGATCAGGGAGAGTGACCTAGTAGCGACCAGTGAAGAGGCGGGGCCAAGAGCTAGGACTCGACCCCTGCAACCTCAACTAGGTGAGTATACACACACACACACACACACACACACACACACACACACACACACACACACACACACACACACACACACAACCTCTACTCGTTGGCAGAATATTTACTAACGCACCTTTAATCCCCATTCGTTGTTTAGTGCAGGTTTCAACTAACGTATGAGTCATTATCATGACTGCCAGTCATACACAGCCTTGAGTAATGACATCCAGGGCGCATTAAACCTCTATAACTTACAGATGCATAATCGCCCTGGATGATACACCGCCATCAATCGCTTTAATGATGCAAAAAAAAAATAGATGCATTTCGGTCACTGCTGCCCCGAGAAAGGTCTCCCTGGATTCCATAACCTCAGCCCACTCTACCTTCATGCATGTGAAAGGCATAGTGCAGAGTGCGGTTAAATATTAATGTTGAATATATTTGTTATAAGTTATCACATGGAGACTAATTTTTACAAGACACACCAGTGTTCAACATTCTTACAAGACACACCAGTGTTCAACATTCTTACAAGACACACCAGTGTTCAACATTCTTACAAGACACACCAGTGTTCAACATTCTTACAAGACACACCAGTGTTCAACATTCTTACAAGACACACCAGTGTTCAACATTCTTACAAGACACACCAGTGTTCAACATTCTTACAAGACACACCAGTGTTCAACATTCTTACAAGACACACCAGTGTTCAACATTCTTACAAGACACCAGTGTTCAACATTCTTACAAGACACACCAGTGTTCAACATCTTACAAGACACACCAGTGTTCAACATTCTTACAAGACACACCAGTGTTCAACATTCTTACAAGACACACCAGTGTTCAACATTCTTACAAGACACCAGTGTTCAACATTCTTACAAGACACACCAGTGTTCAACATTCTTACAAGACACACCAGTGTTCAACATTCTTACAAGACACACCAGTGTTCAACATTCTTACAAGACACCAGTGTTCAACATTCTTACAAGACACACCAGTGTTCAACATTCTTACAAGACACACCAGTGTTCAACATTCTTACAAGACACACCAGTGTTCAACATTCTTACAAGACACCAGTGTTCAACATTCTTACAAGACACACCAGTGTTCAACATTCTTACAAGACACCAGTGTTCAACATTCTTACAAGACACCAGTGTTCAACATTCTTACAAGACACATCAGTGTTCAACATTCTTACAAGACACACCATGTTCAACATTCTTACAAGACACACCAGTGTTCAACATTCTTACAAGACACACCAGTGTTCAGCATTCTTACAAGACACACCAGTGTTCAACATTCTTACAAGACACACCAGTGTTCAACATTCTTACAAGACACACCAGTGTTCAACATTCTTACAAGACACACCAGTGTTCAACATTCTTACAAGACACACCAGTGTTCAACATTCTTACAAGACACACCAGTGTTCAACATTCTTACAAGACACACCAGTGTTCAACATTCTACAAGACACACCAGTGTTCAACATTCTTACAAGACACACCAGTGTTCAACATTCTTACAAGACACCAGTGTTCAACATTCTTACAAGACACCAGTGTTCAACATTCTTACAAGACACCAGTGTTCAACATTCTTACAAGACACACCAGTGTTCAACATTCTTACAAGACACACCAGTGTTCAGCATTCTTACAAGACACACCAGTGTTCAACATTCTTACAAGACACACCAGTGTTCAACATTCTTACAAGACACACCAGTGTTCAACATTCTTACAAGACACACCAGTGTTCAACATTCTTACAAGACACCAGTGTTCAACATTCTTACAAGACACATCAGTGTTCAACATTCTTACAAGACACACCAGTGTTCAGCATTCTTACAAGACACACCAGTGTTCAGCATTCTTACAAGACACCAGTGTTCAACATTCTTACAAGACACGCCAGTGTTCAACATTCTTACAAGACACACTAGTGTTCAACATTCTTACAAGACACACCAGTGTTCAACATTCTTACAAGACACACCAGTGTTCAACATTCTTACAAGACACACCAGTGTTCAGCATTCTTACAAGACACACCAGTGTTCAGCATTCTTCTCAGTAGTAGTAACCAGTTACCAGTCTCAGTAGTAGTAACCAGTTACCAGTACCGTCTGACTCAACGATCAACCGTCTCTTGAGTCACGGTCTTTCATATTGTGCTGACCTCAGCAGTATTCAAAGACCTACTGGGTACTGGGCAGCCGGCGAGCCAGTATTACGTGTGGTAGCAAGGAGATAGGTACGGCTGGCAAGAGCTCTGTCCACATAACAGCAATATACGTAAAACAGCCTACGTGAGTATTTCTACCCTAATCCACGTATCGAACTCCCACATGATAAATGGTGGCCGAGTAGTAGTTTCTCCACAGGGGACGCCTTGTCGGAAAACAATTACTTGCAACTAGTAATGCCATCTCTTGTTGATGTCACATGCCGTCTGCAGAAAGATGTTTCTGTTGCGGCTAGTGCTCTCACTAGAGTGTCTGTAGTTGTTCCTAGTGTTCCAGATGGTGATAACGTCCTAGTTGACAGTGATTCCTGCAAAGTAAAAGGTCTATTTGTTGAACCATCCTTACATGTTGTAAGAGATAGTAAGATCCATTTCTACCTGGCCAACACTTCGGGTCACAGTGTTCGCCTTAGAGCAAATACCAATCTTGTTGACCTTGTTCACTATCCTTACCCTGTTCAGTAGAGGATGAGTTTGTCACCTGACCAGTGGGTCGGTGCTATTTCTGCGGGAGACCTCATCCACCTCACTGGATCAATCTGTTCCACCAGTTGAGGAGAAAGACTTAGCTCCCACTGACTTCCCAGATGAAGTCAAGCGTTTGTTGACTCTGCTGAACAAACGTCGTAAAGCCATTGCTTTACCAGGTGAGAAGATGGGTATAACGAACTTATTGTCCCATCGTATTCCACTTGAACCTGGTACTAACCTATCTACATACCTGCGTACAGAATGCCTCATTCACAAGTTGCTGTCGCAGAAGAATTGATCAATCAAATGCTTGATGATGGAGTATTGCACCTAGCAATTCACCTTGGAATGCACCCTTGATACTAGAAACCTAAGAAGGAAATGGAA